CTATAATGTAAATACCATCAGGCCTTCAAATGGGATAAAGACTACGTAAACATAACATTGCTGTCCTACGGGAAGCACCGAATCAACTGAATAATGTACCGGTTGATCCACTTTCTTTACTGGTTGATATAACAGGGGATTAAAAATTTGGGTAATCAGAGAAACAGAATGTGGAGGATCACTAATATTTTTGAAGCACGCGAATAAGACGAAAAATTTGGAGTAGACGCAGATTTTCCATGCCAGCTGACTACTTGTGTTTAAGTGTTTCTTCTCTCTTGTGTTCTGTGCTCTAACCTTACTAGTTTCTGCGTTGAGTGAGCAGATTCCGAGGCTAAGTAGGTTCTCTGTGCGTCAGGTGAATAAGTCACGCAGTAAAAAAAAGTGACGCATTTATTTGGCTATAGGTAATTGTTAAGTTGTACACTAGCATTTTAGTGAAAAGTGTTTTGTCGTTTAGATCTTTCTTTTATAACATTTAATTATGCGTTTAAAAATGCATTGGTCAAATGTTTGTTCAAGCGCATTCACCATACATGTACTGCTGATACAATTGAAGAAGAAAGACAACACCTCACTGAAATATTGTTAGATAACAATTACCTACTGAGATTTATTAAACGTTAACGAGCTGTCAACTATAGAGCTTTACCAATCCAATCAGCTCCCAAAAAGGATGTTTACATATCGTTGCCGTTCAGAGGTGATCGACAAAGTCTAGTCACTAGACAAAGACTCAAGGCCGCAATTAATTGAACCTATTATGCAGGTGAACATATCTTCATAGAGAAAACGAGAGCTATGCTGTCCTGTAAACCTTCACAGTGTCTGAACGATAGTGTCACATCTCATTGTGTTTATCAATTTACATGTGTGTGTGTGGAGACAAGTACATAGAGGGGACCCATCGGTCCCTAAATGTTAGGGCTACAGAACACATTCCAAAGTGGCTGCAACAACAAATGAAATCTCCAGACACAACTGGCCTCGGAAATAGATGTTCAACATCATCTATAGCGAAACACATTATAGAGACGGGTCATAAGGTTGATTTCAACAATGCATTTAAGCCCATATATAAAACAAGGTTGGGTCACATACTTAAATTCATTGAAGCCCTAGCCGTAAAACGACTTAAACCTGTCCTATGTTTCCAAAAGTTATTTGTTATCACCTTGAACCTGCCTTGGTAGTCCAATTTAGAACCAAGGATCAATTGACTTCGTAATATTTTCAACCCCTTCTTTACTTTGTTTTTTATCTTTCTTACCCACATTTTTGCGTCATCTCCCTACCCATAATTTTTGACATTCACCTGTACACAATCTGACCTGTATTGTAATTATTCATGCCTTCTTGTCTTCTGTAAAAACTGTGTATGACAAGTACATGTGTGATCAGAATGTCCAAAATGTGTTGTGCAAATATGCACATTACACGTTTCAGATAAACTACGTCTTCTTACTGTGTTGTCTAAATTCAAAAAAAAACACTAATTGCTTTAAATTATTTGTTTTTATTTATTCAGACTCACTTTTGTTCAAGTCATCTTCAAAAAACAAAAATGCGTGACATTTAAATTTATAATAAGTAGACTGAATTGAGCGTCGGTGGCGCAGCGTTTAGGAGGCTCGCCGACCATGCCAGTGGTTCGAGGTTCGATCCCCGGCAGACGCACTCGTTTACCTCGCTAAGCCAGAAATAATGCTGGTAAAGAGGAAAGGTTGGGCATGAGGCTAGCAGCCCCATCCTGTAAAAATAAACACTGCTACAGAAGCTTCAAGTCACTAGCTTGAAGCCTTATGTTCCACTGGGAACGTTAAGGAAAAAAGACTGAAAAGGTACTTCGAATATTTGTCATCGAACATAGTTCTGATTAATTGAACTTATTATTGATTTGGATAATGGTAGCTTGTGTGATATCAGGTTTTTTGAATATATATGTTTTTCAAAGTGATAAACAGGTCAAATGTTAATTTAGCTAATAAAGTAGTTGGGAGTTGTGTATTCCTTTATATGATGAAACAAACAAAAAAAGTGTCCTTGATTTTCGGTTGGAGGACTTCATTATTTGCTGACACCAGTTTGAGGACCATTGGAAAACCACTTGGGAATACTGAACAACTGTTACGTCAGCCTATTTTGAGCTCCAATGGTAGAATGCACCCACCATAGGGGGTTTAAACCCAGAACCTTCAGGTTACAAGGCCACGGAGCTCGTAGACCATTACGCCACTTGGACCTGGTCCAATGGCTAGCTCATGAATTTTAACTTCTGTCAATTCACGATATTGCGCGAATACTTCGTAACGTCTTCTTCGCTGAGTAACTATCCTTACTTTCAACCTGCTGTATTCTACTGGTCACCGCTTCCCACCAGAACCCCAGGTAACTGCCTGAATATGGCCAGTCGCTAGTGAGCATCGGATTATCTAGTAACGAGAAGGTCCTGGGTTTGAACACTGACGGTGTTTGCGTACTGCTGAAGAATCTAAAACGCTGGGACGAAACAGCTGTGGGGTACTCTCTGCAGGCTAAAAGTTTGAAGTTTTCATGGCAAAGGTGATCATGTTTACAGGATGTATTTGCTGGCCTTGTGCCCAATCTTTCCTCTTTACCGGCTTTATTACTGGCTAAGTGGCGTAAAGGAGTATGTCGGTGGCCGGTGATCGAACGCCGAACCATGTGCATAGTCTGCGAGCGTCCTTACCACTGTGCCACCGACGCACATGAATTATTATGAACTTTAAGATTTTTTCTTTGATTATAAAATACTTTTAGTAGAGTGGATTATAAATATTACCGCATATTATAAAAAATGAAGCCGAATTGTGTTTCTCTTTCCATCTGAGTAACTATATAAGAAATATCTCAAGCGGGGTTTCATCTATTTAACGTTTGACATCACTATTGACAGTCACATAGTTTTTCTCTTCTATTCTTAGTAACTGAAAAGAATAAATAAAGGTTTATAAATGTATATAAATTATAATATAAATTAATCGACAAAAACGGTATACATAAATTTTTCAAAAAGATGGTTACTGAACAAAGAATGCTCTTTTCGATAACCTCTTCTTCATTAGGCCCTACAGTTATATATCCATCCATAATAGTGAATGAATGAATTATTGTTATGAGCAACATTAATGTTGTTTAAATAACATCAAATCAATAGAAATATCAATAGATTACAGTTCAACAGCATCAACATAAATAAAGGTGGATGTCAGAAAAATTAGGAAAGATAATATTACAAATTCATGAATTTATAGTCGCTACTGAAGACTGACCAGGGCAGTAGTAGTGCTTGAACTTGCTTCTTCTACACGCAGAGCACTAGTTGTTTCCCACCAATTGCAATACCCTCTGCTGTTTGGAGCATGTTTTTGGCAATCTATTTCGTACCCGATAAATACTAGAGATGTGCTCTTCAGTATTAGCCTTGTAACCGATTTGGAGCAGGTATTCTAATATGCAGCTATTGATTTAACTCTTATTTAACCACACTAGCAGACTTTTCCAAACAAAATAACTGAGATCCTAGGGCAACTGCCGATAAAATTCGCTCCACCAGAAACGCAGTTGAATTGGTAGATTCCATTTGAAGTGGCTATGTAGTCTGGATACTTCATCTTTCAATCAAGGTAGCACCATCGGTCGTGTAGAGACTAGTACGTGTAGTTCGCCAGTATTAAAAGTTCTTTGAACTGATTTTCTGAATTTCCTCGTAATTATTTCACTTGGTATATCGTCCTTGAATTGTAGTCGTATATAAAGTGACTTTTTGCTTACGGATAGTGAGTAGTCCTTTTCCACTTTCTTCGTCATGTGTTTCTTGATAAATTTGTCGGGATAGCCATTTCCGATCAAAGTATCATATACAATGCTTAATTCATCTTCAATTACTTCTTCTGAGCATATAGTTCTACCTCTGTGGCTGAAGGTCTTTACTAAATTTCTTTCGTATGAAACTGTGAAAATTTGTATATTCTCCTGTCTAAGTACTTTTTCTATACAAATTTCTTTTTTATGTTACCATCTGGTTTTCTTTTAAGGATGACATCCAGGAAGGCAGTTCTCTTTTAAGATTCCTCTTCGCAAGTGTATTTCATAGCAGAATGTACTTCATTGAATTCAGTTATTATTACACTCCAATCCAAATCATTATCACAATGAATTAAGGTATCATCTATATACTGGCAATAAGATGAGAACTTTCTGATAAGGTTGTCCAAAGGTCCATTTTTTGTTTACTTTGAAAGAAATATGCCAAAATAGGACCCAATAGAGATTCCAGTTTAGTAAACTTCTGTCTTGTCTCTTCAATTCTGAATTTGACATCCTTGTTCATGCTCCGGGTAGTTGAGTCAATCCTACTTAAATAAGTGAAAGAAGCGATTTCGTTGAAATTTTTCTCATTGATACAGATTGTTGAATGTTTTGCCTTCAGTTGACTAATAATGCAAGTAATTTTTACTCTAATTATCCACAGTTTACAGACAACTAGACGTGGTGGCGATGGGCTTCCCCCACATTTGGTCCTATTCTGGTCCTCACTCAGCAATGTGATACATCTAATAAACAAACTAATATAGAACAAAATGCCAAAATTTGAATTCCCACCGACTCACTCTTAAACCTCGCCTAGGCTATCAGCCGATAGGAAGCCCGTAGAAGTAGGATAGGTTAATCGTGAGGCTAGCAACTGTAGCCAATAAAACACAGTACTACCGCCACTGAAACTGTAAACATTGAGGTCCTATAGTTCCACTCAGAAAAAAGGACTAAATAAACTTTATATAACTGTATCAGAATAAATCGTTTAGTAAACCCTACAAAAATGTCGTTTTGTGTTTAAATGTCACTTCTATGTCTTGTTTGATAAAAGAAACTATTTACTACGTGATCAAATTTATATTTTGATTTATATGTTTAAAAATTTTCTCCTGTTTTTTTTGTCTATCCTTTAACTAATATTTATCTCTACATATATATAGACAAAAACAATGACACTTCGAAAAGACTTAATATCTGATGACAGTTTAAGTGAAGAACAAGAATTTCATCGAACCGGTTTCATTTCTCTGCCTGATCGAAGATCATCATCATCAACAACAAGAAAAGGTGTTCATCAACTGCCAACATCCCCTTCAATGCCTCTGCCGAGTGAAACACCATCTGGTCGTTGGATATACAATGTAAATCTCTCAGAAATGGATTATACCAGTGAACCGTATAGTATATGTACATCACTTGTTGAATGTAAGCAGACAGACACAGATACAGTGGATAGTCAAAATGATCCAGATCTTACGGAGAAATTAGATTATATTGCCTCTGAAATTGGTCTATTACATCATAAGAATTATATGCGACGTGAGCATTCACAATCACCACAATGGGATATTAATGGTAAGCTCCTGCCTTACATATTATTTCATTCTTGTTTTGTTTTTTTTTTTGTTTTTTTACAGTTAAGACGATGTACATTGTGATTGTTGTAGCAATAATGATAATTGCTAGTTAGATATTTTAAAAATATTTGAGATAAGTCATCATTTAATTTACTTAAGCGTTTATTTTTGCTTTGTCTTTTTACCCAGGTTACTATGATTACCTTTGATTTAGAGATGAGCTAAACACCCTAAGATATGCATAAATGTTTTATGAGGTTGAAAGATGTAAAATATTTAGGAGGAAGATCTTTTAGGGTGTGTACCTAGTTATTTTGTTTCTTAAAATATCATTTCTTTGTTTTCATATATTTATATATTTTTAGTATTGAAGATAAGTAATGAGAAACTGGTAATATATGGCTAGCTCATATCCAGTATAAAATTACAGCTAGTAGACCTCAGAAATGGATACCTCACAGAGAAATACTCACCCGGTCATTACAATGCATTCACCTATTCTTCTGAAAAGTTTTATAGGTGGTGGGTGGTGAGAGAGGTTGATCACTAGATGGAGGCAATCGGGAGGAAGCCTTTAACTCTAGGTTTCATGCCATTCAGCAGTAATCAGGCGTATTTATAACCTTAAGTGGACTTGTGTCCTTTCCAAGATTCTGTCTGCACCAAACGAAGGACCAGTTGCATGGTATTAGTTACCACTTAGTGTCCAATCAAAAAAAACATCGATTACACCCCAACGATGTGTTTATTAGAAATCTAATCTCCCTAGTTAGTAAAGTTGTGTATACACCTCATCTTTAACGCACCATCTGCACAGATCTTTCGTGTTGTGCTAATTTTCTCTCTTATATTGTGTTTATTTGTGTTCTTTTCATGTTTCCTATGTATCTCCGCAACTCTGAATTATTTGCTTTCTCTGACGTCATATCTATTCCCCTGCTATCTGATGCTTTTATGCCGATGAACGTATCTTTCTGTACTACTGATAAATACTATTAGTAGCATACATTACATTGTAAGTAAATGCTGGAGCAATTTATAGCTGAAAATTGAATGAAGCCAAATTACTTACATTCATAACGTGGTGCGTTAGTAGTAGAGTGCTCGTCTACCACGCATTCGGCACAACACTTCTTAACCTTGCTTAACCAGGAGTAAGGCTGTCAAAAAGAAGGGAAGGTTTTTACCTGAGGCTAGCAATCATATTCCGTAGAAAATAAACACATTACTGCTAGTAGCAAAATAAAATGAAAATAAAAAACGCTAACAATAATTTAAACCAGTTCATCATCCAACAACCTATTTATATATATATATATATATATACCTCACTTCTCCATACTCAGATTGTCTGCATCATTTTTGGGCTTAACACATTTTACAAATAACCTAATTCAGAATATTTAAACACACACTGTAATTAGGATACAATTGGTGGATGGTGACTAGCAGTGGAATCCAGGATGCGCATTTCGTCCTATTTGGGACTCGTCAGCTAGACGTACCTGCATTTCTCAGTGAGTGGTGATGTTCCCACTGAGGCTCGAACCCAGTGCCCATAGTTTCAAACGCCAAAGCGTTATCCACTAGACACACTGTAATTGCTAAAACCGACTCTTTGTAGTATGAACGCAGGAAAGCGATCTCTGCGTTCTACTGTATAGTTTTACCAAACTTTCTTGAGATAAGCACAGTCAGTCACATAAGACTCAAAAGACAGAAAATGGATGGTTATTTACTGTAAGATCTATGTGGTTCTATTTCATATCAATATAAACAATAATAAGAGTCTCAAACTAGGACGAAACACCTGTCCAGTACTCGCAGGTATTTCAGTGATTCTCTAACTGATGTCACTTCATTATGAAATCCTCCATGCAATCAAACAAAATTCATGAAAACCAATACCTGAAAATTCGTCTGATGCTAACTAGCGACTGGCCGTATTCAACCAGTTAACCTGGGCTTCTAGTGTGAAGCCGTGACCAGTAGGGTACAGCAGGTTGAAGGTGAGGCAGTAACTCACAGAAGAAAACTTTGCGAAATAGCCGCGCTATGTCGTCAGTGTGCAGAAATTAGAATTCAAGGACCATCGGATCAGGCGCTATTGGCTCAATGGTCTATGAGCTCGGTGGCCTTGTAACCAGAAGGTCCTGAGATCGAACCTTGTGGTGAGTGAGTACTGCTGAATGAGTCCCAAATTAGAGTGACGAAACAGATGGCTGTCCAGTGCTCCCAGGTTTTCCAGTGGTTCTCTAACTGATGTCCGCTCATGATGAAATCCTCCATGCAATCAAACAAAATTCCTACAAAACGAATATCTGAAAAAAAACATAAAAACTCAAAATCACATCTACAGTGTCACTAGGCGGCTATGAAGGCTAGATCATTTTCTAAGTGCAAAGTAGAAGAAAGTTGTTATTATTATTATCGTTCCCTTGGGTTCCTAGTGAAAGAAAGGCTTCAACTGCTCGCCTCCATTCCCCACTCCTGTTTTCCTTCTGCTATACTTTTAACCTGCATCCATGTTAGTCCATACTGTTTCAACTCCTTTGTGTTCATACGATCTCCGCCATATCACTCTTGCACTGACCTCCCACTCGCCTTCTCCCTTTTGGCCTGGTTCCACTCGAGCAATGGCCTGACGCGCGCACGATGTCACCCAGCCGCCTCCTCAGCGAGTGTCCGATCCATCCTGCATATTTGTTGGGTGATTGGTTGGTTCTTGTTTTGTTTGTTTGTTCGCATAGTTTCTTGTTGATGATTGCTTCTGACCCGGCCATCTGATCTTCAGTATAGATCCAGCGAAGACAGTTGTTGTTGGTAAAGGTAGGTCTGCAATAGCCTGTTGGAAATATTCTTTGTAACTCGCCCGCCAAGTTTCTGTTCTGTATAGAAGGGCTGACTGACTTGACGTTTGTACTGAAAATCCGACTGAACTTTCTTATTGATGGTGAGTGACGAAGATTTCCAGATTGGATTCAGGTTGATGAATGTGTGTGTTTCTCGCCTTCGCGATTCTCGATTTGACATCCTCGTCCGTTCCGACTGCCTATAGTTGAGACAATGCTCCCTATATAAGTGAGTGAAGTAACCTCTTTCAAATCCCTCCCGTTGATGGTGATTGCCGTTGGATGTTGCTGTTGTCGTTGTTGGTTGGTTATTTTCATAACTTCTGTGTTGTCTATGTTCACTTGTAGTCCTGTCTTCGCCGGCTGCTTCTTCGACTAGTTTTTCGGTTCTCACTTGTAAGTCTTCAGTTTCGTGTGACATCAAACACAAATCGTCCACGCGCGAAATCCAGGTCTTCTAGGTTCTTCACGTCGTCCAGGATATCCCTGTCTTCTCTTTTCTCTTGGTGTGACGCATAATCTAGTCCACCGCAGTTAAGAATATCATTGGTGATAATAAGCACCCTTGTCTGTCTGACTCCTGTGTTTATTCCAAACGCCTCGCTGAGTTTTTCGTTGTGGATCACTTGACATGTACCTTTATCGTACAGGTAGCTGTTGAATAAAGTTGATGAATATGATGCGTAGATTCGCAATTTGGTCAGAACATGATTTGCTTTTCCTGAATCCAGCTTGTTTTGGTCGGAATTCTGTTTCAAGTGCATCCTTTATTGTCTCCGATTCGAAAGTTAGGTAACGGAAATTCGACTGCAAGTATCGCCTTATAATTAAGTAGAATATATTTCCAACAAGGTGGAAACAAAACTCTGTCGACAAGAACTACACACCGAAAATTTCCGCCTGACGACAGTCCATGTGCAGAGTGATCTTGAATCACTCAAACAACCAAACCACATTGTAAAACAACACATTATCACTTGTATCGTGGAATTACAAAAAGAAGCATTCAAATCAGAGATTGAAGGATTGAGTGAACAGATGATATGCAGGTGTCAGAGCAGAGATATACAGTCAAGGATAAAGATGGATAATAATCACAAAGTTAGCTGGAACTACCCAAATAAGTATCAGTATTGTATTTAGATAATTCAGGGGGGATTTCTTAGCCAATCATTCTATTATACATCCTATAAACACTATTAAAAGGTTATTAAAATTATTGTTTTCTTTAGTTCCTAGAGGAACATACGGATTCAGCCGAATGTCTCCATGGCGTTCGGTTCTCTGCCAATGTTTTCATCACCTGACTCCACGTCTGCCTACATACTTTCATCTTCTCTGCACATCACCTTCTTTATGTCACCCTACCATTAACGACCAACTCGCCACTTCTTGTTCGGGTTCCACTATAGCAATGGATTGTCTAGTGATGTCACTTGATGTTTTGATTTCTCAGAGTATGGTCAATCAATCCATCTCCATTTCTTCTTGCCCATTTGTTGCACAATCGTTTCCTGATGGATTGGTTTGCTCATTGCCAGAGATCCCTGTTTCTGATCTTTTCTGGCCGGCCATCTGATGTTGAACGAAGTATTGAGCGAAGACAGTTGTTGACGAAAGTCTGTAAACTGTTTGATGTGCTCTTCATGACGCGCTGGCCAATTCTCTGATCCATAAAGTAGCACAGACTTCAAATTGGAGCTGAAAATCCGGATCTCATTTTGATTTTCATACTGACTGCTGTTGACCTTCACACACGAACTTGAAGGTGATGAATGTTTGCCTCGCTTTCCTGATCCTCGCTTTGATATCCTCGTCAATTCAGTCCTCCTGCAGTTGAAACAATGCTTCCTTGATCAGTAAGCAGGTAAAGGGGATTGCTTCTTTCAGATTTCTCCCCTATTAAGGTTAAATGAAGTAAATTAAAAATAACATTACACAAGAGAGAGAGAGAGAGGGATGAACCGGAATATATCATACTTTTTTTAAGGCAGCGAGTCACTTTATATGTTTTCAATTCAGCCAAAAAACTGTAACTAACTAACTAATTGGTGTATCGTTCAGTGAGACAGTAAAGGTCATATACCATTAAACTTAGCCTAGTAGACAGAGGGATAGAGATTAGATAAGTGACTTTTCTAAATCT